CAGCGCCGGCAGTGGGGCCGGGACTGGGCTCAGCTGTGGGGCTGGGACCAGACTGTGGCACTGAGGGCTTTGCTGGGGAGCTGGGCTATGCTGTGGGGCTGGGGCTGTACTGTAGGGCCAAGGATTTGGGGCTGCCTTCCCTCCCAGGCCCCGGGGTAGCAGTGTTCTGGGGCCAGCTGTGGGCACAGACCTCCCTAACTGCAGTTCACCATCCCAATCCCTCACCCAGGCACCCGGACATCAAACACGCCGTATTTAAAGTATCTCCTCATGGTAAATCTCTAATATATACTGGGCTGAAGGGGTACAGACCCTTGCTCAGGAGGGTCCCACCATGGCTTCTGGCAGGTTCTTTGTTTTGGGGTTCTTATTCTTCGAACTGGTAGTATAACTGTTGATACCTGGTAAGTGTTCCAATGCACTCAGAAGTTCCTCATCAGAGGATGCCGAACGACAGCTCGTTGCCTTGGAACTTACTTGTTAGAGGCAGTAAATGAAAGGCACGCACCCCCCTCCCTCTCACAGGTTCCTAGGAAACTCTGCCTGAGGCTTACGGAGGGATGGATCTCTCCATCTTCAAGCAGCTTTGCACTGGAGCTGTTCAGGGCACGCCTGTGTGCAGGGACTCTGCCTGGCTTTGCTTAGCGGCAGTTTGCTGAGCATTTCCATTTCACAGCAGCGGAGGAGAAACCAAGTGTTAAATAACGTGTTGCTCGGCAAAAGGCTGTGGAACAACCCCAGTGGTTGTTCTCTTTGTTTTGGGGTGATGAGTAGTGGGAAGGTCCAACTTTATCATTACTGGAGAATGCCAAGCAATCAGAGTTGACCTTTTTTGGTTTATTTTTCCCCCTTGATAAATCCTGCTATGCAAACTACAGAAAAGGAAGAGGAGGTGCATGACCCTATTGCACTTCTCCAAAAAGCTGTTGTGAGGTTGCAGCCTGGTTGTCTGGGCTTTTGGGCTTTGTCCTGGTACAGCACAAGTGGTCTGAGTGTAGCTTAAGTTGGAGCACACACATCAGAACCCAGCTTCATCTTCACTGGAGGTTAATATCGGTCTCTGTTAAGCAGCTTTTGGTCACAGGAGAAGTCAGAATGGGTTTCTCTGTATTGAGTCAGACATATTCAATCCCAAAGGTCTTCTCAGAGATTTTTAAAAAGTGAAGTGCAGTCAGTCCTACCCAAAAGTCTACGATGGGAACTTAGTCTTTCACTGCAGGAACAGCAAAAAGGCCAGATTTGTGCTTTGAAGTTCACTCATCTCCCATTTTCACTGAGTTTCTAGCTTCAGAAAAAAATGTTTCTGTTCTTTCCATCAAAAACTTTAAGTTGGGAAGGGCACAACTTCCCAATGCTCCGGATCAACTTTAAACATTCCTGACAAAGCCAGCACCTATAAATGCACATATCCCACCATCTCTGACTCAGCCATTATTGAACTGTAGGATTGCTGCCTGCCTACGCAGTGATACGCCAGATTTATTGCTATTATTAGCTGACATGCAGCACAGAAGTGGGAGCTGTAGGGAGATTAAGCTCTCTAGAAGCTTTCTGGTCAATTCCTGTAACTTTTCCCTCTGCTATCTGATCCGCAGGTGCCTTGAGAAGCAATGGCCACAGCAGCTTTTCTGAACTTAGCACCATCTCACCGCCACTTCTCTTCAAGACCAGCAGCCACTTTCTTGTGGACAAACGCCATCAACATGCATGTCACCAGACCAAAATCTGCCAAGGGACGCACAAGGCCAAGCTTCAATTACTCGCAGAGCGTGGAAGCCTGTCCTTGCCAAGTGCCACCTTCCCCGCCACCACCAGCTCCCCACAAATTAGTGAAGAGCCAGAGAACGTCATCCACAAAACCAGCATTCCCATCCAGCCAGGTGTCTCCTGAGGAAATCCCGGAGCTCCTGCAGCAAGTGCCTCTGAGGACCTCCTCTTCCCTGAACAAGTACAGGGTGCTCCCCTCCATCGGCTGGAAAGGTGTTGGGAGTGGCGCTGTGGAAGTGGTGGCTGAACAGACCAACCGGCTGAAAGTGAGCGAAGGGTGGGAGGACACTCCAAAAATCAAAACCGGTTCTGGAGAACAAGGATCTTCCAACATATTGTCAGAAAGCCATGTCCCTGAGGAAAAGAGCTCGCACATGCAATGTCCTCCTGAGAAGCCGGGAAGGAAAATGAGACAAGAGAGCCCTTCGGCGTCAACTTTAAGTTTGGAAGAGCCTCCGGAAGAAGTGTCGCAATTGCTGCTCGCTATTCGATCTCCCTCCGGGCAGAGATTTGAACATCATTTCAAGCCCACTGACAGTCTCCAGACAGTCCTTGCCATGGCAGAGCAGAAAATGTTGGCCAAATATAAATGCTGCAGCATCGAAACGATGGAGGTGCCCCGAAGGAGTTTCTCTGACCTTACAAGGTCCCTCCACGAATGTGGGATTCTCCACAAGTCCGTGCTGTGCATCCGACAGAAAGAGCAGCATGATGCAGATCTTTAGGTGCACAGAGATGCAGCCCCACCGCTCTGGGTTGTTCTGCTGAGAGGGGTGCATTACTTCTTCCAAAAAACTGAAATTCTGATATTTCCTGGAGTTCTGCATTGTGCCTTCTTCCAGAAATTCCCCTTGAAGCAGCCTTGTGTATATGTGTTGAAATAGTATTTCAGGTGTATATACCTGCTACATAAATAGCATCTTTTTTCGTGTGTGCCATCACAAATTGCTTCCCAAGCGCCACCACCTTTTGGCCTTTTTGGTTTTTTTTGAAGTTGCCAATGTTCTTCTTTGAGGACTGAAGTTTCCGAGACCTCTCCCCTTGTCTTTTTCCATATTTCAGGAAGGTGCACTTCCCAGAGTGGATCTGGATGCAGCAGCACCTATTTGGGACGGTAGAAATGGAACTGGTTTACTCTGGAGGACCACCTTCAGTAGGTTATCATCACCCTAAACATCTTCTCGAGTGTGACTGAAAAGGAGATCAAACCCCCAGACCACCTGGAAATAACAGCAATAACACATTAATGACTTATTGTGAACTATTAGATTGCAAGATTGACGGTAATACACCTGGGAGGGCTCAGCTCTTTCTGGATAACCTCAGTGCAGCTTTTATGAGTGTGCCTACATCATCTTGTTAAGAACAAATAGTTATTATTTCAGCTGTATTGGTGAGCAGCAGGATTTTCTACTTAGTTTTCCTTCTCTCAATCAACTCGTGTGATCCATAGGTAAGAACAGATGGAGAGGTCAGATGGGATGTTACAAAATGCGTCCATTTAACACCTTTACACTGAAGTGAGTCCAAGAAAGCAAGTGCTGCTTTGAGATTTTTTTAAGTAAAAATGTATCATTCACTGGGTTTGACTTGAGGAATTGGCTTGGGCAGTAGACCGTGTGTTACTAAACCATCATTAAAGAAGGCCGGTAGAGTAACTTGGCAGATTTTTAGATAAAGACAATGTGCTTATGCTAAAAAAAATAAATAAATCTTCTAAGTTTCTAATGGAAATTCTTACGGTTCAAAGGCAATAATGCAGTCTACCCAAAAAAATGGACCGCTTGCCATGCAGCTGAGCTAGTTTTAGTATATTGAGGTAAAACAAACATTTTTTTAACCTCAGTGTGACTGCCAAACCAACTCAGAACAGCAAGAGCAGTGGAAAGCTGATCCTGGTGTTGACCAAGAGCATAGCATCTCCCTCTAAAGCAAGTGTTCAGGGTCCGTCGGTTTTATAAAACAGGACCCGATAAAATAGTGTTACCTACTGCCGTGGGTGACAGCAACTGCGCAGTAGCAACCCTGGTGTCCTCAGGGAGACCAAGATACCGAAACACATGGGTGCTTTTAATCAAACCTCAGCGGGGAGCAAAGTCTTTCACTTAAGGGTTCAGGAACTGGTTTTTGTGTTTAGTTCAGCGCTGGGTGGTTAATTCCCTCCTGATTTTGTGTCTAATGATGTTACTTCTGCGTTTCAGAGTGTTCTCATACTGTGTGGTAGTATAGTCAATAAAACCTCTTAGGCTGAAACTTGAACTTAAAATTGTTTATGTATGTGAACTGGTGGCTTAGCCGTTGCATCTCCTCTTAAATGAGAAATGCTGGTAATTTGATGGCAGATACCTCGGAGATTGTCCAAATCAGACTTTGGACGGTCAGCTGCTGCCCACACCATTTTGCACGTGCCTCCCTGGAGTTTGTATCTCTGTCCTGTATTAAATACAAGATGGCAGCAAAGCAGGAAGCCCCTCAGATCAGTGCCCGCTGCCAACAACCAGAGACACGGTGACCACCGCGCAGCTTTGGGAGCGTACAGGGGCCAATGCTTTAACCAAGGACAGAAGAGTAAGAGCAACTTGGATCACAGTGGCTGGCACGTCTCCCACTGTAGAATATTCTTCCTGAGTATCTCCACCTGAGATACAGCTGAATGAGAGAGTTTGGTTCTCTAACTGATGTAGGCTACAGCAGCTCCAGTGATGAGCATTTTAGTCCCTTCCTTTTCTAAAAACCACATCAAGTCTTGATCTATGCAAGCACAGGGCAGGGCAAACACCTCTTTGCTTTGTTAGTTCTCTTCCCTTCAAAACTCTTCTGGGCACGTGGGGGGGTCTTAGCAACTCTGCCAAGTCTGGTACAAGAGGCACTACAGGGGGAGAACAGTGTTTATCTGACCTCATTTATTGAGTGGTATCATTTAACAAGCTTCCTCATAGAAATTCTTCAAAAGAATTTCAGAAATTCAGTGTTTAAATCAGGTGAAGTTCAGTCTGCTGCAGGATGCTTTGGGGTCATAAATAGAAAACTCAGCAGGACTCCTGGCTCGGAACGTCCTTACCCAAGGCTTTCAGACAACAAAAATGTATTGAAGCAAGAAATTAGCAGAGGCATCATTCAGTATGTGTTCTTTATTCCAATTAAAAGTACATTAGAAACAGCACACAGGACCAGCAGCAGCTTTCATGACAATTCAACCCAATATTCTGCTGTCACGAGGTCATTCAGCTGTACTATTAAAGTAGGTGATTGAAACAAGTCTTCCACTCGACACGCAAGCACTCACTCACCTGCCACTTTAAATAGGTTTCCAACAGAATAAAAATAGATACACCCCAGAATACAAAAAGTTTAATTTTATCAGTTTTTTTTTTTCACTAAAGCCTTTATACAAATTGATAAAAGGGTGCACAATTTCCTAAAATTTTAGGTACATTTTAAATGAGCCTTTTTTTACTTGGTAAAAGGATCCATGTTCCTGTCTTTGAACAGAATATGATGGCCAAAATTGCAAAGAAAATTCCTAGTTAAATTTACAATTTATACATTTCTTTTGAAGTGATTCCTGCACCGAGTAGCAGGCCGATGGCTGCTCACGCATGTCCCATTTTCCCCAAAAAGAGCTGTGCACCTTAAGTTCTAGTTCAGGAGCATCCTTCTCCTGGAAACCGGGCTGGGGGAACGACCCACAGGCTTTCAGCTGTGCGCATGAGAATGGTCCCAACGGAACTAAAAGCCTGAGCACAGAGGTTACAAATCGTTCCTTCTCCGGCAAGGATCACCCCGGGGCGAGGGACTCATGACCTGTTTTGCACTACGAACACAATGAAAGTGGAGCGCTTCCCGTCTGTGATTTGGCTGAGCAATTTAACTCAAAACTCTGGTACCAAAACATACTGTAACAGATAAATTTGGTGTTCTAAAGGTTTTGGGTTTTTTTTTTGGTCAATAAAAGCTATCATGATTTTTTCTTTTATTCCTCTTACTGCTCAGTGAAGCCCAGCAGTTCTGTACATTATTCACACGGAGCTTCACAGCAGCATCTTAGAACTGGCACCACCTGCCTAAAGGTGACTGACCCCTACTCCAACAGTCATTAGCATTTTATGGAGGTGAATTTATTCAGAAAATTAATTAGTACAGTTCCCTTCATACTGCCCCTCCCTCCCCACCCACCTACACCTTGGCGAGGTTAAACGCTTCGGATGAACTTCTAGAGTACGTACTTAAGCACTGTCATCACCGCACCGCTTTACGTATAGAGGCCATTCTAACAAATCAAGGACAAATTAAAAGAAAATACTGCCCAGCAAAAGCAACACGGCACCTGTGTTTGCAAGTATGAGCTACTGGAGACATCCTCAGGACAATTTACGTAAGGAAAAGCAGGGCAAATCCATCAGGAAGCCAGAAGTGAGTTTGAAAGAGCTCAGGGGAGCGCCAAAGAGAATGACATCCTATTTTGTACAAGTTGAGTTTTTAGCCAAAAACCAGCTGCCTTGTTTGGGTTTTGTGGTTTGGTTTTTTTTTTTTTTTTTTCCTCTTTACTTACATCCATTTTATATTTGGCTGTTGAATTTTAACTGATCAGGTTAATGCTGAACTTTATTCCAATTAAAGGCAATAAAGCTTTTTTTTTTTTCTTTAAATTTGTTTTAGATAATTACATATTGCCCATTTTTGGCAAGTCTATTTCTTCGATTTCAAAAGATCTTCCCGTTTTAAGGCTAAACTAAGAAATGTTAAAAGCTTCTGTAAACATTTCCTCTTCCTCCCCATAGTTGCACAATTTGAAGTCCAACTGCAATTTTTAAAATGAGGTAATTTTTGTGTACTCATATCTTAAATAGTCCTTTTCGGGATTAGCTGAGAGGCGTGCCAATCTGAACGCTGATCCAATTGTAGTGGGAGAGCTTCCACAGCAGGGTACACACCAGTTCCAGCAGCTGTACTTCAGTTAGTTATCTTCTCAATCTCATCCAAGTCGTCAGTATCCAATTTGTTTATCTTTTTGTCTGGGAAAGATGAGAAAGAAGTCAGATTTCCTACCACAGAGCGGAGAAGGGAAAGCTGCTTTCTTTAGCTGGTCTTGAGGAGTTCAGGTTTATCCATTAAACGTTCAGTCAGGTTTTAAAACTACAACATAAAACTTTTTTCTTTTATTAAAGGCCCATCTGGGTACTCAAACGTTACCTGTCTCTGGCACATCCATTTTAAGGACTATCCAGATAGCCAGCAAATGGACAACTTGACTTATTTCTGCTCCTATCACATGTAGCAGTTCACAGTCCTAAGCGACACTACACAAAACGCAGCTGATGTGCTCTCCTGACGTCAGTTTAAAGCTCAATAAATACCTGCTCGGTATAAGCTAGGCAAAATTCTGCAGAAATAACATCTGATTTCAGAGAAAGAAGAAAGTCTGAGGGTACGTACTGAAATGTTCCTGGATTCTGTTGAGAATATTCATGCTGTGCTTGCTGTCCACCATGTTGATAGCCAGTCCCCGCTTGCCAAAGCGACCCGTACGTCCAATCCGGTGCAGATAAGTCTCGTTGTCTGGATTTCCATCCTTATCCACAGGAAGGTCAAAATTGATGACAACAGAGACCTGCTCTACATCGATCCCTGATAAAAAGAAAGCATCAGATTACACAACTACCTTTAAACCATTTTATAACAGGTGACCTCCTCCGCGTGCAGTCTGGTCACCATATCCAGGTTACCCAACAGCAGAATTTCTGACAGCTTTCAGAGAGCTGCCACGTGGCTGCCTGCACACTGGGTGAGGAGCTAAAAGACAGTCTCAGACACTGAAATGGATCTTTTCCACAATATCCTTATGGGGCACTTTGAAATAAAATCCATCTAGCTGTTGGCCCAGAGAATCCCACTGAAATAGCTATCAGAAAAACAGTTGGAGCTGCTCAGCTTTATCCAGCACTTACATATTTTGGAAACTCTTCCCTCCTCGCCAAAGCTGTAAGGGACTCTTGTTTTTTTCCAAGTACTGTGTTGTCTTAACTGTTCTAAGATGTCAAATTGCAACACAAATT